TACAGCGTCCTGTGGTAAGAGTAACGGGGGCTTGACGGCCTGCAACCTCACCCCCGGAGGTCGCCACCTTCAGTTTCCCCGGCGTGGACTTGGTGACCTCCTTCAACTGACGTCGGTTGTAGTGCGGTGGCGCGACGAAGGTGAATATGCCGGAGAGGGAGAGCGTGGTCGACGTCCCAAACCTGGCTGGTAATCAGGCACACTGATGAATTGTTGGCACGGCAGTTGTCAAAATGGGACTGAGACAAGGGGGGTCCTTGAGAAGGAGCGTCCAGGCGTGGTGCGTAGTCGCCGTTGGCACGTCGATCGTCAGATTATCGCCGAAGAGGTGGAAACATATCGTCGCGGTGCCAGCAATGACGGGAAATGTGGACCACACCTCCGCAGGTAAAACAAAGCCGACGCCTATCTACAGTGCGCCAGGCGTCTATTTTACGAAGCTGTGGACGCCGCAACGGCTTATAATGTGGCAAATGCTGTGTCTCGTTGGGAGACGGCTCTTGGTACAGTGACATTTCGTATGGCGGCACGACGGCAGGGCGCCGCGGTGTCTGTTCTTGCGGAGGCTACCAAGGAACGGCTGCCGATAGCTGGCAGTACGACTGGTGCAAGCGGGTCGGTGAAGCATGGCTGCGTAGCTCATAGATCACTGATCGTGAGTAAGATCAGCTGTTGAAAACGCCTAGCGTATTTCTTCGTGGACGACTTCAGCAACAGACGCCGTGGGTGGTTCCGTGACCACAGTCTGCAGCTTCAGCAGCTCTTCGCGAACAATCTCTCGTATTAAATGGCGCAACGAGCTTTGATTGTCAGATGTCGTAGCGGCGACTTGAATGTGGGCACTGCTGGACAAGCGATCGTATTGTCGGCATCGTAGGTGAAGCGCCCGTTCGATAGCTGTAGCTTCTTTGATGAAAGTCTGTCAAGGTGCTTGGCGGGTCCGCAAAGGTCCGGTGAACAATTGCTCTTTAATGCCGCGCATGAGGTAGCGTAACTTTTTGTCGTCGGTCATGTGCGGGTCAGCTCTACGGAAGAGACGGGCCATGTCCTCAGCGAACTTTGTGACCGTTTCATTTGGTTTCTGAAACTGTAGCTCGAGTAAATGCTGCGTACGTTGGCGCCGGTCGACATCGGCAAATGTATCAATCATCCCTCTTTTAAAGTCCCTCCATGCTGACAAACTGCCTTCTCTGTTCTCGTATCAAGTACGAACGCTGTCGACGAGATAAAAATAGGCGCGGGAAAGCCTTTGTTCAAGAGACCATTGGTTGGTGTTGGCGACACGTTCATAGTGATCAAGCCAGTCTTCAAAGTCTTCATGTGCTCCAACACCGAAGCGATCAGGCACCAGCGGGCAAAAAGGGTTACCGAAAATAGGGTTGGCAAACTACTGTCTCGTAGTAACTGTTGTGGACTGGCGGTGGCCATTGATAGATGTGAACGGTGCCTTGTAGAGTGTTCCTGCGATGGGGTGAACTTTGGAGGGAGGCCTCGCAAGCGACGACTGAAGCGATGCAAGGGAGTGTCGACAAATGTGTCCGGGCTGGATGAACGGCTCCCCGTGGGAGTGTGGAGTATCAGGCGGGGTCGCGGGCCAACACCTCCACTAGTGTCGCGGTACAACGCGAACAAAGCACAGGTACACCTTGAGACAGCGAAAGCAGCGTGTTCTCAACAGCTGAGCCGCAAGATTGTCTTCTTCGTTCTCGAGTCAAGCCAGAGGCCCACTACCTGGTGTCCGCTGAATCCCCCCATCATCGTTTTTGCCCTACATGTAGACATGGGTCAATATGAGGAATAACAGGGGTTTAACAGCCAATATAGAATTCGGAGCAATTTTTGGAGCAGCAAAACCTTACTTTTGGAGCACTAAAATGCAAACTTGGAGCAGGTTATGGAAAAAAAACTCCATTTTTCATCATGAAAGACCAAATATTAGAGCAGTATAAAATGCGAAGCCTACATTAAAAATAAGTGTGCAAACCATTCAACATCACCTAATTTGTGCAGAGTAAAATTGAGCACTGCTATTTGAATAGAAGTAGTTTTCCGACACCCCCCCCCTAAAAGTCTACATAAGCATTTGCCCCGTCGGTCAAATCGTTTGACAGACTATGAATTCAAATGTAGATCTGCCAAGCTGGCGACCTTGAAAATCAGAGATTAGTGAAATTGAGGCAGTAGGGTTGACATAAAAAAAAAACAAAAAACTGGTGCACTGTTTTTTTAGCGAGGCAAAAATGTTGTACACCGTTTCAAATGATTGCCAGTAACTTTTCCTGTGATTGGCAACCATGCTAATGCTCCCAATTATGCAGCATATACCCACGAGTAATTGCAGAAATGTGCTGTCCAGTTAGTAGTGCGAACAGCTCTTTCCAAATTGTGATTCGCTTTTCCACAGGGCACCAAGCAAAGGTGGCTTAAGCAGCGTTCTGCACGGGTTAGAATACGATCAAGAAATTTTCAAACACCACTACGCCCCCGCCCCCCTTTTTTCGCGATGGGGTTAGGTTTAGACACAACTTCTTGGCTCGCTTTCAAGGCATGTTCTACCAGATAAAGTAACAGCGGTGCATGCACATTGGTCCGGTGACAGCATCGGATACCTTTTGTTGGGAGGACGCAACTAACCTAACTTCAAGATAAAAAGATGCATGTGTCGTTGCTATAGCGACCAACGTGGCAGCTGGTAACACTGGCGTTTTCAGCACGCTCTGTCTGAGGACAGAAAACATGATCCATCGTGAACTTATTTACAGCGCAACCCCAGAAAACACAAGACAGGGAAAGAGCAAAAGAGAAAGAAAAAACGGCGCTGACTCACAACTGTTGTTTATTGGAAAAAAACGGGGTGAAAAGTATATATATAGGTACTGGCAGCCTACATCACGACATGCGCAGAATAAGAGGTGCACCGAGGTAGCGTTGTCACACTTATGGCAATAATCAAGATCGGCCTAAATAACTTAATTCTTTTTCATGCAGTGTGACAGATGGTTCACTAATGCACTTGCTACCTCTAATCTTTATATGATATGCCTCAGCGATTTACCTACTTAGTTGGTTAGGAAAAAATGGGAAAACAACCACATGACTTGCAATGTTCCCGTAGATGAAGTCGTGCGACCCCTTGAAGAGATAACTCATGCTCCCTTCTACCAGAACATTGCATGTCATGCTGTTGTCACATTTTTGAGAAAGCCACCATCATCTTCAAGCATCCTAACCAACTAACAAGAGAAATCACTGAGGCATATCATATCATATAAAGATTACGGGTAGCAAGTGCATTAGTGAACCATCTGTCACACTGCATGAAAAAGAATTAAGTTATTTAGGCCGATCTTGATTATTGCCATAAGTGTGACAACGCTACCTCGGTGCACCTCTTATTCTGCGCATGTCGTGATGTAGGCTGCCAGTACCTATATATATACTTTTCACCCCGTTTTTTTCCAATAAGCAACAGTTGTCAGTCAGCGCCGTTTTTTTCTTTCTTTTTTGCTCTTTCCCTGTCTTGTGTTTTCTGGTGTTGCACTGTTCACGATGAATCCTAACCAACTGGCCAAACTTACCATCTTACTGCTAGGAAACATGATATGCGCTTCCAGTTCTATAGTTTGTGAGGGTGCTATCACCCCCTATAAAGTTGACTTCGCCTCATGGCACATGCGTGCTTGGCGGATAGGCTGCAGTTAGGGTTAACACCTGGTGAGCGGTAGATGGCGAAGCAACCGCACGCGATCTTCTTCCATCGTCATCATTATGGTTAGCAGGGTGGCACAATGCAGTGACTCCTAGCGGCGAGGCTAGAGGCTAAGTGGCTGGACAGAAAAGATTCGCCAAGGCTGTTTGGCGTGTGGCGCAAACCGGTTGTCTCCCGAGGTGTGTTGATGGGAACGGCCCTGCTGGTCGTATGTCAGTGGGACCCTCGTGGAGAGTTGAGGCCGCCTTTGCGCTACTTGGTGTTTGTTCTTATATTTGAGTGTATTGAAGTATTGTGTAAGGATTGTGTAAGTGTCGATCCCTAGTGATGTATTTGACTTGAGTGATATGTGGAGTTTAACGTCCCAAAACCACCACATAATTATCAGATACATTGTAGTGGAGGGCTCAGCAAATTGCAACCACCTGGAGTTCTTTAACATGCGCTTAAATCTGTGCACACGGGCCTACAGCATTTTCGCCTCCATCGAAAATGCAGCCGCTTCAGCCGAGATTTGATCCCGTGACCTGCGAGTCAGCAGCTGAGAATACATGGCGCCAGGGGCCATGTATTTGATTCAGCCGACAATATTGTCGATCTAAAAGAAGTTCAATAAATGTGTTGTTTGGGTTGTTTCGACCGCGTCTGCTGTGTCCGTGTTTTCCAATGCGGCATTCTTGTTCAAGACCCTCCAAGTTGCTAACATGCTGGAGCCGCATCCGCTGGCTAGGAAGTTCATACTTCCTGCGAAGCGTTGGCGGCTATGGCAATGCATCTTTGTTTTGAATTTGCGTCATCCTGCCAATACGTACCTGGTGCGATCAGCGGACCGATGCAAGCTCAGTTTCGTTACTTCATCTGCTTAATTACGTCTCGCAAGTGCCCTGACCTGATGGGAATATATTCTACACCATAGTGTAGGGTTAGGGTCTGCGCTATTGGATTGATTGCTGACACAAACTGCACGTGGGCAACATGGCCTATATTTCTAGCTGAAACTAGTGCAACTGAGAAAGTTTTGAGGCTAGTCGGACATTTTGGCACAGCCCGACAGGAAAGTGGGAAATTGTATCAAATTGGTGCAACTGACGCAGCTGTTGCACCCCTGCGGATAAGGCACTAGGAAGAGGCACCTCAATCCTCACAATGTAAAATTATTTTAACTGTCAAAGCACATGACTAATAAACAATTTTTAACTGTTTTCTTTAATCAAGCAATGTTTTCAATAAGCATTACGATCTCTTTGACACAGTACGATTTACTATACGTCATAGAGCTACATTTACTCACACTGTCCCTGAGATTTGGGTCTGCACCCTTGGATAACAGCAATTGCACAACACCGACCCGTCGATGCTCAGTAGCCCACACCAAAGGCGTCCAACCTCCTTCATCCTGCAAAAGTTGCACACACATGCAGTCTAACATCAATATAACAAATTTCAATAAAACAAAGTCTTCAATATAAAGAAACTAACTTTCTATAACCTCCTCTCTATGGATTATGAGGTGCAGCAACAGAAACAACTTAGTGATAAGACATCTTTCGCAAAAGTGGTCACCTGACCTGAGGTATGGGAAAATTTATTTTGATTAGAATTGACTTTTTGAGACTGTATATTAGTTCGAACAATTTCCCAGCAAAAAAAAAAAAAAAAGGAATTAGTCAGCAACTCTACTTTATATAAAAGAACAAATGTTAATTTGTCTTCAAATGTAGCTAAGTAAAATATCAGTTCAATCAACTTTATAATGGGAATAACTCTATCCCAGACAGCCATCTAAATAAACACTGCATAACCTGTTCAATGACTGTTGTTATTGTTATTTTTTTTTTGAAGAAAGAGAAAGAGGCTCTCGGGGCATATAGCTACATGCATGTATATTGATATTCTAGGGGGCGATGCGCGTCTGTGCCTGACGAGGAAGACGAAGGGTGGTCTCCGCTCGATCGCTGGTGAACCGGTCACACCATTACTGCTGGTTTTGATTACATCTAATCCCCAGCCTTGTCGATACGGCGTCTCTTCTTCTCCGTAACATAATGCAAAGCCAGCTCACCCAGCAAACTAGCCTTGGGCTAGAGAACTTGTCTTGATGGACTCTCTGCTACAAGCGTTCAAATGGTCAACATGTCTTTGTTATCTTGACGATGTCGTTGTATATTCGCCAACATTTGAGACCCACCTTCAGCATTTGTCAGCTATTCTCGACATATTCCGCACTGCAGGCCTTCAATTAAATCGTCGATGTGCCACTTCAAATGCCCGCAAATTACAGTGCTGGGGCACCTTGTTGACGCCTCTGGTGTGCAGCCGAACCCAGAGAAAATTCGTGCAGTAACCAGTTTTCCTGTACCCCAGTCAGTCAAAGATGTCCAAAGTTTTGTAGGACTTCATTTTAGAAAGATTGTGAAAGATTTTGCAACCGTCTCGTCGCCCCCTACAATATCAATATACATGTATGTAGCAATATTTTTCCATAACCGTTTACCAGTCTCAGCCAAGCATGTATAGTGATAAAAAACAATCGCAAAATGCACACAATTAAGATACTATGATGACAATCGAATGCTTGACACACATTTTTTACTTGTGTGAAGTGCCACCTATCATCACTCATTGAGTACTGCCGCATTTCACAACTTCCGGAAAAAATTGTGGCTGCACTACCACTTTTCATCTTCTGCCTACACAAAATAAAAGTTAATCCTTTCATTCAAGAGCAGACATGAATCTTGGGATGCCAAAAATTTTGAAAAAAAAATGCCAATTTTGGGAAAGCACTTTCTTAGATACCTCTTATGTCTAATGTAGAACTGTTGCAATGGGATGACAAGAGAGTACGGTTTAACAAAAACTAATTGGTATTTAGACCAGCACTATTGTCTCATTCTCAAAGTCAGCGGAATTAATGATTTGGTATGTGCTCTTTCCATTTTAACAGCAGGTCTGTTGTTTGGTTTAGGAAATGACAGCTGCAAAAGATCTGTAAAAGCCTCAAGTAGTGCAAAAGAAGACTATGAGGATAATTTGTCATGCATGAACTTAGCAATTTATGAGTGGACTTTCAATAAAAATAAATTTATTAAAATATTTACAGTTGCTGTTTCATTTTCATCAAGGACCACGAAAACGTCCTAAAAATTAGGCAGTTAAAAAAAAAAAACCTGAATTCCTGCCTTTTACCTTTTCCGACCATTAAATCACCACCGTCACGTCTTAAATAGCCCAGAAGGTGTGCCAGTACACATATCAGTCATTTCAGGGGTCACATAGGTTTCTGTGAATGAAATTCGATACTTTCCGATATCCCAGTGCCACTAACAGCAAGGCATGGAGAAAATCACAACTCATTTTAAATGGCGAGTTGGTGATACACGACTGTTTTGAAATGAGAGCGCACTACTTAGACGCTTGGCATTGTCTTTCTGTCCACGTCTAAGTAGTGCACTCTCATTTCAAAACACTCATTTTAAAACTACGACATGGAATACAAAGGCTATGCGGCAAGAGAGCAAGTGACTCATCTGACTTTTCCCAATGTGTATGCATGCATTAACGATGTACTATTGCACAAAAATCTCCACCCCTTCATCGGAAGCATTTACTGCCACTTGGAACGATCATTCCTAGTTGCGCGCAGTAAGTCACAAGGCTAATACAATTACAGCCAGTGTACTTGCCACACACACGAGTTTGAAGCGTTTGTTATTAGCCCCAAGAACCAACCCTAGCATTGCTGCAGTCGCGTTGAAATGATGTCACGGCAAGAACTCGCCTGCTCTGCCACCGCACATGCCGATAGTCGCTTCTTTCCAAGCCCGCCGTGTAGCCTTCAGCGATACGGCGGTCATTTCTTCAAAATTTCGAGTAGTAGATCCCTAAAGCTACAAAGTAAAGGTATTTATTGCTGCTTAAAGTTACCTAGGCTGCAGAAAGTATGGATTCGCTTTGAAAATGAAAGTGCAGGACAGCGAGACATTATTTATTTCACCACACATGTACTCGATGAAATCAATGCTAAAAAATTATTCGCGCTCGCGCTAAACTGGCCTGAATTCATTACAACTTGGCATATACCACGCGAATAAACATTTGTGTTGAAGTATTACAAATGAAATTAGGACGTTTTCAGTTTACTCGCAGCATTGCAATTTAACGGGCAAGTTATGTCTGCCTCTGCAAATAATGTAGCTCATAAACCAGAAATCCGCTTTGGGATGCAGGATACTATGATGAATCCGTCTTTCATCTAAAATCACTTATTGTAGTGAGAAAAAAAAGTAACTCTGCAAACCACAGAACGGTTTCCGAAACTCTGAGATGTCGTTATACTCGGACCTCATGTACAGATTTCTTCTCATCAGTTGTCAGGATTACGTAGTCACATACCCTGATTTACGCAAACAGTTCACTCAATCTACCACCATGTCATGAATTGTTTCAATGGCGCACTCCCCTTCGTGACCCGTGTGATAATGAAACATCCTTTGTCTCAATGTCGCAGCGATTAGTTTCGCACGTCATGTTCATATACAGATTGATGCTGTTCTGGGGTAATCAGCTGTGGGAAAAATTTATTCATCAGGTGGCTTTCTAAACTGGTACTTACAATTGTGACAACACAGTTGCTAGGATGTTGCACGTACACGCTACCTGAAATCAATAACATTTTCTGCAATTAATCTCAACTAGGTTTCCTAGTGAAACGGAGTACCGAAATTATTACCAAAAAACATGAAGCTAAATAACGTGTTTAAATATGAGCAACTACACACAAGAAGATCTAATGCGCGCCGATATAATCGGGCAAGCGAAAAAAAAAAAAAAAAAAAAAAAACACGGCCAGTAGTTACTCCGATGCGTCCGATACAGATACCAACTGTGGAAGCAAAACAGTCACAACTTTTTAAAGGAATCACTTGTGAAAAATGCAACCTGATGCAAGTACGCTAGCTGTCGTATTCATTTCAGAAGCGTGACAATATTGCGAGGCATGCTGCAGAGTAATTGTGGTCACCTTGTACTTTTTTAATCTGCTGCACATGCATAGTCTTGCTGTTCACCCCTGTCAGAGTGCGGCTGCCGTGGCCGATAATCGAACCCATCTTCGAAGTAATTAGGGGTACGCCATAACAAACCTCATCAAATCATGTAACCTGGAGTGCTAGGCACTGTTGGCGATTCTACCAAAAGAAAAACTTTTTTGCTGTTTAACCAGAAACATCATTTATGCTGCTTTAGTCATTTATTTTAAGAGGCAATCAAAAAAGTGAATGCTGGAAGCGCAACGGCCTTCGAAGCGAGCACGTGTTATGTATACGCGTGCCACATCAGGATTCGAAGAGTCTGTGCCCTGACGTCATGCAAGCCTCCCACCAGGTGGCGCCACTCTAAACTTCTCACGGCTAATACCTACTCACCTCCTTAACTACACACAGGACCCGTCACAGCAAGTCACTTTTTTTCTTGAAGGTAACACATTTGTGATGTGCCCTTAGAGGTCTCATAAAACAAAAAAGGCAAAGTGAACGGCACTATGGTGCATTTGAGTTGTCTCCTATGAAAAGCATACAGTATGCGTGCCAGATCTCGTGCACTACTAAACAGTTAATTGAAGGTATTTATCATAACAGCGATGCCAGTAATTAAATGGTACTGGCACGTAGCCGTTTGCCACTATCATACCCGAGAGCATTTCTGGTGCTTAATTCGCAAAGGCATTGCCGCACGGCGCTGTGGTAACGGTCCCTTCGGACTCTCGTATGCTTCACCATATGAGACATTGGCGTCAAAGCCAAGCTTTTCGAAAATGCTTTGACAGCAAATGGATTATATTGAAAGAGCGCTGGTTCGTACCTCCAAGAAGATTAACAAGGCATCAGTGGTGGCTTCGATTAAAGCTATTTTGGACCTGTGAATCAAGCAGAAAGTCCAAAAATCGGACGTCAAAGAGTTTCAGCCATTGAAAACTTCTAGACTTCAAAACTGCTCTAAAAATACCTTTGAAGCTATATTCGCTGTTGATGTTTTGAAGATCACATATGCATGTTAAGGGGAATCGATCCAGCAGGCTATCTCGGCCACAAAACATTGTGAGAGTACCTCTTTAAATAGAGTAGTCTGAAGAATTTATTTGAATAATAAAAAACTATACAGTAATAGCAAGCATTTTGTTAAAAAAATCAACCCTGAAAGAATTAACCTCTTCAGTGGGAGTGTGTACAATTGCACACAACAAATGGACAGCCCTTTCATGCACTACCTGTAACAAATGCACAGCCCTTCAATGCATTTCCTGTTATTTCAATTTGCTTGCGATATAATGCACACATTTTTAGTCGTTTCCTCATTCGGCTTGTGCGAAAAGTGATTTTGGTCGAATAATTTCTA